GAACAGTTTGTTTTTTTTTCATGGATTTGCCTACGTTTTAGAATGAAGTTTCGTTGAAAGTCTGTCGTGTCAAGACTTACACAGTGCTCCAATCGTGAGGCAGTCTTGAAAGACCTATTGTGGTTGTGAAGTCGAAAGAAGAATTCTCATATCATTTAAAAGCTGTTCCGAATTTTTACGGGGATGTTCATCATCGTATTGTGGTGATTCGGTGGTTTTATATAAGCATTTGCAAGTTAATGGATAGAATAAGAACCGAGTAAGCTTGAGGATAATTCTCGTAATAAGTTTGCAAGTCCTGCAGCGAGTGCGTTCACACTTTTCGCCAGCGTTTTGAGCGACTGGGAAAGTCTGAGTATCGATCTATAGCGTATTTGAGCGCAGCCAGCGTCGCCAGTGTTTCCAGCGACTAGGAAGGGCTAGATCGCTATCCTATCCTTTCCTAGTCGCTCACATGCTGGCATACGCTCAAAACGCTACACAAAGTATGAGCGCAGTACGCACCCACAAATTATTAGGTTGTCCGGAAAGTTCTCAGCGTTTTGTGTTACTATTTTTTGTACATTCATTGCTGATTAAAAACTCATTCTCCCTTGCGTCTCAGTAGTACATCCTGAAGAGAATTTTTTGCGCTATCTGATGGTATAATTGCCGTTTCACCATTGCTTGATAAACCCCCTTTTCCCAAGACTTTTTGAAGCATGTCAAAAGAGCAACTTCGGACGATATTTTTCTTCAACTAAAAATTGGGTCAATCCGCAGTCGAGACAGCTCGACAAATTAACCAGGTGTGGGGCCCAATAGTGTTGGAGAAAGCACCGTGCGACAATGGTTCGACAAATTTCGTTCTGGAGATTTCAGCCTTGAAGATGAACCTCATAGCGGTCGACCTAAAGCTGCCCCACAATTTGAGTGACCGGCAGAAATTGGCACGTCTCGAGGTTTCTTCTTCACTGCTTTTGCGCAACAGAAACGACCCGTTTTGGACGAATTGTCACCTGTGATGAAAAGTGGATCATGTATGATAACAGGAGACGTTTCGGACAGTGGTTGGATGCCGACGAACCACCGAGGCAATTTCCAAAGCCGAATCCTCACGAAAAAAGATTATGGTCACAGTGTGGTGGTATCGGCTGGTGTGATCCACTATAACTTTTGTCACGCAGTTTCAAATCAATTTTCACAGCAGAGTCCTACTGTGCATAAATCGACCAAATATACCGAAAATTACGTCAGGCTGCAGCCAGCACTTGTCAACAGAAAGGGTCCGATTCTTTTGCATGACAACGCCCGCCCACACGTTTCACAAATCACTATCCATAAATTGAACGAATTGGGGTTGAAGTTCTACCTCAACCGCCATATTCTCCAGACCTTCCACCAACCGACTATCACCTTTTCAAACATTTCAGAACTTCAAAGTCGTGCTGCTTCGAACCGGTGCTTATTTCGATCAGATCCGAGATGAATATTAATAAGAATAAGTTATGATCTTTAAAGTGAAAACACTCAAAACGCTGAGATCTTCCGAGACACGCTAATGAATTCCGCCGTTCATTCGAACAATATGTCAAATGATCTAGCGCTCTGCGTTGGATCTAGTACGGTTGTCACGAGATCCTGGCGCATAAAGAGCAGAGTCACAAGCAGGAATACAATATTGATCCATGCGGATGCTGGGGCGTTCCGGGAGCCTGGCCTTGGCGTGGCGTCAGAGCGTTTCCAACGACCATTTTTTTCGCCTTACCTCGCTTAAAGTTGGTCGAAGAACGGATTGGCCATCCGTCAGACTTAGTCCCCTGATTGCTCTCGGCCCCGCAGTGAGAAGACCTGTAGTTTTTGACGCAGCACAACTCCCAGTGTGTTGAAAAAAGGCTTGCTTGTAATGATTTTGCGCCGTTGGTCGCAAAAGATGGATCCCTGGAGCATGTACCATCTTGAGCTCGCCTTGAATCCACATACCTTTTTCTCCCATTGTCTTACGCTCTTCCTTCTACATGACATCTATAATCGTTGTGATTTTGCACATTCCAACATATTCTCTGAAACGAGGTGTTTTAAAACTGGGATTATGATGGGTAGTGGCGCGAGTGAGGCACCTTACCACTGTACGCGTCTGCCGTGCCAGAGGCGCCACGCAAGATGCTGACTGACCCTTTTTTTCAGTGTCGAGCAATGGAAAAATATATAACCAAAATTAGCCATAATGTTACGGGCCGTATTAAGCATTAAATGCGATGCTCCAGCAGTCGACGGCAGAGCACATCATTTGCGGATTTTAGTCGACGACTCTATACGACCCCCACCCCCGTTGTTTCTTGGGAGTTGGTAACCTCTAGCCCTCTGTTTTCCGTCATCCAATGGAGCCGATCGAGCGGGGAAAAGGCGGGGGGGAGGGGGGGGGGGGGGGTAAATAGCACATGTGAAACAGGAAAATCACCAAAAGTCAACCGCCACTCCCACAACGCCAAAACGTAAATACGACCCCCCCTCCCAAAAATGATCAAATACGACCCCCCTCCCTTTACAACGTCCATGAAGCGAGAAAAATCAACTATCAAAATAAATTTTTCTCAGCCCAAATACGACCCCCCTCCTGGCGACCAAATACGACCCCCCCCCTATTGGGGATTCCCCAACAACGATGTGCCCTGGTCGATGGAGTAACGCAGATTGAGAGAATGCCGCGCCCATCGCCGCGCGCGAGGAAGCGGCGAATTGCGATAGTCTTGACTGTCTTCCGAATACATCAACCATAGAATCTGCTCACATTTCAAAAATTCAGAATCTGCTTACAGGACGTTGAAAAGCGCTATTCTTCGTGCCAAACCTTTTTGGCAGAATAACGCCAAAATGGCCACGTATATGATTGATACGCATTGTCATCTGGTTGATAATAAATTCAAATCCGATGTCGATGACGTTATTGAACGAGCAAAATCGAGGGATGTCAAGCATGCAGTGGTATGTCCGGAGTATGCAAGCCAATTTGACGCCGTGTTAGAACTAAAGTCAAGGCATCCTGATTTCGTATTGCCAGCCATAGGGATACATCCAATTCAGGTGATGACGGTTTCTTAACTTTGTTGTGAGCTAAGGAACTTTGGGAGGGGGCAAGGACTGGGCGAGATCGGTCTTCGCCTTTTTGTACCGTCTGCGCTTTCCTACGAAGATAGTGTTTGCTCAGTGGTCATCTTCCAGCAAGATCAGCGCAGAAAAGGGCATGTAGTCTCGCCTAGGACTTCAACCTCCAACAGCTTAGGCGCGGATTTTCCTCGTATGTTTGTAAAGGGTTCTTACAGAAGAAGAATAAATCTGTCAAACTGGAGGATATTGAAGGCGTAGAAGCGTTCATCTCGAAGCATAGAGATCAGATCTATTGTATCGGCGAGGTGCGATATAAAGTTCCACTCATTCGTTTGTCTATTAATTTCTTCCTGAAGTCTTATTACAGGTTGGCTTGGATTTTACTGAAAGGTACAATATTGGTCCTGAGAAGATGGTCATTCAAAAAGAAGTTCTGGCAAAGCATATTGAA